TCTAGCTCAGAATTTCAAGACTTTTTTCGACGAAACATCATCAATAGGGGTAATTTGTTGCCCTGATCCCAAATGTCATATTAATGTTGACGCTCACGCAATTTGGATCTAATTACGGATATGATATTTATTTTTGACGCCTACTTCTCGCTCATCTCCTTTTTGTTGACATTGGTACAAAACCTAGGCGAAGGTGGAGAGATTCCAATGTACCTGAGCAAATTATAATACATTCTCCTCGGTTCTTGCCCCTCTGAGCCTGGTCCTAGAGAACGCCCCCGTATCCTCCTATAGCGCTGATAACTGCTCTGCGAGTACTCAAGAAGGGCTGTACACTGCAAGCATCACTACTTCGCTATTTCTCAGGAGGCTAATTGTTCTATATTAAAGGAGCTGATTAGAATTAAAGCAGACGTATGGAAGTAAGGCTTACGGTTTGCTAAAGAAACACACGGCGGTGGCTTTGTCGTTGCAAGTCTGCTGAGAGCAACCGACGGAAAGTGTTACCGCACGATAAATCTGTCAGACGTAGTTGATTTTTCAACAAAAAAAGTGTCCTGTGAAAAGCTGTTCTTACATTTGCAAGCGACCTCAATCCTTCGGGGCCCTGGAAATTTCAATACCATGTTGCCCCATTGGTATCTAGAGCGTCCGCTAGCAAAATCGTCGAACCGCATTTTGAGAGGACTTTCGAGCTCCAGTTCATCATATAATTTCCTTTGTTCGTTTGATAAGCTGAAAAACACCGAAAGTCTGAGCCCTGATACAAAAACGTAAAATATGAGCAATCACATAAAATGTGCACTCATGGTCTTAAAGGCACAACCCAGGCAGAGGTCGTGTGAACGCTTCTCTTCGGTCTGTAGTATAGACCCCTAGAGGACAATCACAAATGTGGCGTTCTCGTGCACGGAAACCAACCGACAAGAGCGCTTGGGCCTTGCAAAGTAAGCTGCCCAAGCTGCAGATTTTTTTCTCTTATCAGGCTGTTGTCTGGCTCTCTCATCTGTAGCGCTCTCTCGCCTCATACTCTCCTCTCCGCGCTTAGTCTCTCATTCCCTTAGCACAGCCGATTAGGAAGGTGAGTGAGCCCTTAACCTAAGCGTTTTCGACGGATTCTTTTCCTTTTTTCTTTACTGCCGGCCCACTTCGCACCAATACATTCGCATTCGTGTGCAAGAGCCACACCATGTGATCCTGGGGCATGCCTTTAAAATATCTCTAGCAGACTCAAAGTGCTTTCTGAAGTTTAACTGTCCTCTGATTTAATTATTCAGATTAGATCTCCTAACACATCAATGTGGTTCTTTGAGAGCTTGAGAACGCTTTGAAACCATAAAGTGCGCTCTCAGAACAGAGTCAACTGACGCGTTCACACTTTTTGAAAAATTTTGCAAGCCACTTCGCTTTAAAAAGGTCTCGATGCGATGCGACCACCACCATCAGTCTTAGAACGGTTCCCCCAATACGAGCCCCCTTCCCACTTCTCCAACCATCATCCTAGCATCATGGCTGCTTCTATGGTATTTGATTCTCAGTATCTGATTCTGAGATCAGTCGACACACCCTCTGCCCACTTTCTTCCCTCCAAAACCGCAGTCGACCTGGTGGAGGTAAGGTCGCGTGTTGGGAGGTTTGGTGTGAGGCGTCCTCAGTTTTTCTGTTGTTGTTGTTTTGGGGGGGTTATGGATGCGAAATTTACGCTACCTTGGTCGTAAAGACTTACTGTCATCAACTGTTGTCAAAAACCACAAAAATAGCAACCGCTGCCCCTTTGCCGACTTCTCAAAGTAGTTATTAAGTCCTCGCTCGGACCCTAAAATGCGACTTTCTCCTCTCCTTTGTCCGAGGGACCACAGAAGTGGCGAGCGCCTTGGTCGGTTCGATTTTGTGGCGAACGGAGGCCGTTGAGCGCGCTGTGCTAGGGAGTGCAGCATGAGAATGTTCAATACTCACAATAGTACATTGCTTGCATACAATGGATTCTCTGGTATTTTACTAGGGCAGCCTTGCACAGCTTCTCTAGCCAGCCTCTCCAACCCACAGCTCCATCTCTGAACATAGTTGGTAAGGAGAAGAAAGAGCAAAGACGTGATGCTAAAGGGTGAAATGTTTGCTTTGCCACATGTGGCAGAACGCTGCAACTATAAAGTGTGAGGGGGGCGTGAAGAAGTGGCAAAGAATATCCTTTGCTTCATTAGGCGCCAGCATTGTTACAATCGCGCGGGAGGGTGACGCGCGTCTATTAGAAAGGCTGTAGAGCGTAATATTCCTTCGATGTTTCCCATGAGCAGAAGCAAGCCCTTTTTCATTGTCGTCGACGCCTTCGGAATATGACGTCATCTGACATTGCTGTCGAGCTCCAAGGCTCAGCGTACCGTGATTTCTTCATTGTGTAGCGACCGGGTGAAAATTGTGTCGAGGGCCTGGTCACCTCAGTACGACCCCCTCTTTGTACGACCCCTCTAACTTTGATTTGATGTGAATAAGCGAGTTCCATTAATGTACAGCAAAGCATTCAGTTGCAGCGCGGTTTGTCCGTGGGTCAGATTTGCCGAAACCCCGCTCGAAACCATCGAAATCTACACTCTCGATGAAAAGGTTCCATTCCCCATTTCACAACCTTTGAGAGCAGTGTGTGGTAGGGTTAGATAGAGCTGGATTTGCTACTACCGGGCAATATTGGACGCTCCCTTCTTCAACCATGGCAAGTGTAATTGATGTGGCGAAATGGGTGGTGTGTCGTAGAATGAATGCCTCTCAACGTAAGCTACAAGAAGGGAAGGGTGCAGCGTCATCGTCCGATGCTCGTCTCGTGAGCGCCCATGCATGCCAGCTGCAAGCCTCCAGCTTTAGTTTGGGCAGGAATTTATTTAAGACGGAAACGTACATTGATATTGGATGATGAACTGTGAAGAAAATCCTGCTTAGTAAGCTGAGGAACAGTCATCTAGCCCAGGCGTCTTTCCAGAGTTGCCGGTTTTGTCGACACGTCCCAGATGACAGTGACATTCTCAATGAGGGCTGAGGGTGAGGGAGCGGGTGGTAAATGGAAGGAAATGCCTTCGCAGCGTGTGTGCACATGTGACCCTGCTCCTTACAAGGTGCACATTCATTCTTCGTAGTAATTTCAAAACCTCCTTCTCGAAGGTAGAGCGACGGAGCGACTAAACCTGCAAAGATATTTATATCATGTTTTCTCACATACCTTATTTTCTGCTGCGCTACACCCTCTCCCTCCTATCTGCACCACGATGCCACTGACGTTACTGACCCCCATGAGTACGACCCCCATGACCCACCCTGACAAATACGACCCCTCCTGTTGAGGATTTCCTCGACCGATATTCACCCTGGTAGCGACTACATAAGTTTTTCAGTCGGGTGCAAGCGCGTGTGATTTCCGGAGAGTATAGCTCTAATTATGTGAAAGCCGTTCCGACCAGCGCTTCAGATGACGCCGTAATCGTGGGCTATCTGACGTGTACCTCGATGAACTCGCACCGCGCATCTTGCCTCCCTTGGCAATCCCCTCTGATGTGGTCGGTGTAGAACGCTATCAGGAAGTTTTCTAGACCGGAATGTGCTTTTCAGATTCCATCTCGAAGCGTTTTTTGTTAACAAATCAATCTGATGATGAGTCGATCAGTTGTGTGTTTCAAATGTGAAGGGAAGATGATTTTTTGGCTCCTCTGTAGTGTGCCTACTTATTACCGTAAGCGCTTACCCACCATTGTAGACATATATATTTGTGCCGTAGGATACTCGGTATCGTCGGGACCAAATATTGTATCCATCGTTCACGAAATATCGATAAAGATTATGTGCTCCAAGCACGTGGGTCCTCAACTCTTCTGTGAGTGTGCTTCCAGGACATAATTCGCACGAGCCGGTAAGGAACTGCAGAAGCTGCAGAATGGAACAATATCTTGAATGTTTTTCAGCAGATACGTTTAGTTTTTGCACAACTTTATCTGACAGAGTGGTTTCAGGTGCCATCACAGTGAAATGTATTAGAAATTCGGTGAGAATCCAATCTGGAACCATACCTAAAGGAAGCGGTCACGGAAAATCCTCTGAGACGATGGAACGGTGACATAGTTGTGATTGTTTCAGGGGGTGCCTATCTCAACAGCGCAACAGGTGACGGTTCAGAAGCAGTTTCGCCTTATCAATGGCGTGATAATGGGCGCCGAAACCCACTTCCGGTTCGGCGTTGCACCTCCTTATCAGACGTGGAAGGGAATGCAACAACAGCGTGCTAGACATGATACGCTTATCGTTATCATTCGATTTTCATGATGGAGTGCACCTCATTCCAAGCACCCGTATCTTCTTATTTAATCTAAATCTAATAAGTAAATAAATAAATAATCTTATCGTATCTACATAGGGTTACACTCGTCCAACCACTACCTATCTCCGACCTTATCGGTTGACGCGGAGTTCAGAAGCGAGCGTCATCGCTTCCTTTAAGAAAGAATGAATGCGCGCTCATGACCGTAATCGACTCATTTACAGCATACTTTTGATAAGTGCCAGTAAAATGTGGAAGTAAGCCGGGAGGTTGAGGTGCTTCCACGTTTTAGCCTGTGATTGTCCAAGGAAATGGTCCTGAACCAGAGGAATGGAGATCTTTGTCTCGGCCCAAGGATGGAGGAGATCCAGAGTGGCGGGTGTGGTGCGGGAAATTGCATAGGATGTGGGGAATATAGGACATCCATTGCTCCTTATCAAAGCAGCTGAAATGAGTTGTGCTTAGTATGTTATCTTTAGTGTTAGAGAGCTAAAAGGGAAGCTCTAAAACAAAGCATGAGATAGTGAGGAGTGTCCCTAACTGTATTTTCACCGAGAATTCTTAACCGAGTCTGGTGCGACTTTCTCTCGAGGCGGAGCGCGCTTACAATAGGTACGGAGAACATGGATTTAGATTCTCGGGAGAATTGCGATGCTGGCCCACCCAATTCACGGGAACAATTGCGATAAAGGATAAAAGGATACAGCTTCCGCCGTTGATTAATTCCGTCTTGGGAATGCGGCACGCATTCTACTTCCATTTGTACATTCGTATGGCGTTTCGGAGTGGCGTGGTGGGCCTATACAATGACTTGCGGGGCCAGCCGATGTCCAAGTCAGTCTTTTTATCCGCCCAGACAAGCCTGGTACAAATTAACCGATTCCTGAGGGATGGGAGGCTTTGATGGCCCGGACGATGCACGATCAGGAATTTAATTCTGGACCGCTCAAGTGGGTTCGAGGTGTCGCACTTGCCACTGGCACCACTTCCGCCCCAACAATTGCGATCTGCAGAGCAAAGATTGAATCGTTGTCCCATGGGCCGGCGCGTTTTACATACAACTAAGGTTCAGTCACAGTAAGTACCGATTCGATATCTATTTTCTACATACAACATTTTCTAGAAACCATCCCTTATTCGCCTGTATCACTTGTCGTCCCGCTGATCATTGATTTGCTCGACCAGGCAGCGTTTTCATTCGTTCCCTGTCGCTTGCTGCTCAGACCTCCACGACATGGTTTCAGTTGTATTGGGTTATCCGGATGTCGAGATTACCAGAAACCACAATGTGGTTTGGCCTAGTTACATTAAACGCGAAGAGTGTATTCTGAAGTCGATTGCGAAGGGTACTTGGTTTGCACTTGGATTACGTTGCCATGCACTGGAGATGATAGAGCTTTTTTAAATTATCAGAGCACAGAGGCCGTTCCTCAACATCTCCTTGAAAAGAACAGAAATTATGAAAAAAAGAGACTTCGTGGTTTGGGTGACAGTCGCCTTCAGATGGCCTTTAAATTTTTCATTAACATTTTGATTTAGCGCCTCTCTCATTTGACCCGATACCTTGCTAGTGATAGCAAGAAGTGAGATCATCATGTAAGCTATACGCGAAAGCAGGACTGGCTCGCAGGCGTAGAACAAAGGAATGCAACGCTGATTTTAGAACTGCAACCTTGGAGGTAACCTTGAGAGCCAATTAGTCTGCGAGCGTTTTGCTCGGAGAACTGTTGCCAACGACACCCACTGCTATTGGAGAACAAATAGCGTTGGCAAGTTGATCGGTTCGCTGGAATGGCCCATGGACAAATCTGGGCAAAGTTCACGTTATTCTCTGCAGCGTCGACGAATTACAAAGAAAATCCAGCAAAGGTCTGCAAGCTCCTCATGGAACGATGACCCGCCTGGTGTGTTTAGCAAACCTGGAACAGGCAGACTACCATAAGCATCTGTTGCCGTCGAGACAACCAACAGAAGAAGGTAGCTCGATGATCCGAACATACTCGTACAAAACTTCGTCAAGCTTTTCGTCTCAAAAGCTCAGGATTTCTGAACCACCGGGAACCAAAGTTGCCTGGTGAAAGGAAATTTTTCGGCGATTGTGATGGTTTATGGATTTCGTACAGTTGTTTGCTGTGCTGGATAAGGGAAATGGTTTCGAAAAAGGTTGACAAATGAGCAAAGGACTTTGTGACAAGCCTTAGAAGTTATTACGACAGACAGCAGGCAGGTTATGCGATAATTGCCAATGTCGTCCAAGTCTCCCTTCCTATACAGCAACATAGTCCTGTTAGTATTCCACGGCACCTTGCATTCCAACAGGTAGCGCGTGATCGAGCTAGATCAAACTGGCGGTGCATTCGTCAGATGTTCCGGTTTAACCAGGTGCTGTACGGTTCTTCACCGACTTGACCCGCATGTCGGACTTCTGAAGAGAGAACTGAAGGAGCGACGTATTCGTTTTGTCGTAGATTATAAGATGGACAGATGGACAAGGCTATCGAAGAGGTCCGGGTAGAAGTAGTGGATGAGTTTTTCCGTTGCACTTCGGGATGCGATAACGGGTACACAGAGACATGGGAGGCAGGTTATCTTGGTATTGTAGTTGGCAATGCATGAGGATGCTCCTCCCAGCCTCTGCTGCTTCAGCTAATACTGCTGCTCTTCGCTCCTTGAGATCTTCCTTTATCGCCTCTCTGCATAGCTTCGCAAGCTCGGACGTGAGTTGGTGATTGCCTGCAGCTCGTGCGGCTCCACGCTGGCGTATCAGCTCGAGAGTTTCCGGAGGCATTCTCGTCTGATTGACTTTCAGAGTGATTCCAGTTGTTGACTGTCCTGGAGCTTCGCTTTTCGAACTTTGAAGCTATCTCAATAAACATCAAAAAGTGGAAACTTTTGCGCGGAGAAGATGGGCCCGGTCCCGTGTAGAACTTTGGGACAACAGCGACATCGGTCAGGCAAAAATCTCCATTGAAGATGGTGTGTTCTCGTTATGCAACTGCCCATCAGGTGACTCCCAAGTCCAACGAAGGTGAGAGGGCTTTTGGAACTGTCAGTTACCATGGATGGTGTTTGTCGACATGATGAACTCCGTTGGTTCGCCCGGCTCGTTCTCTCCATTATTCGTGAGTACCGTTGTGAAGTTATTCAGCTGTTCTTCTCGGGCCAGTATTAGTGTTGAAGAGACGAAGATTGTCAAAGCAGGAGTAAACCCACATCTTCTCAACCTCAGATTTACGGTTCGGGTCATTAGGCTTTCGTATGAATCAATGTTTATGGCCAAGCGTGTTCGACGAAGGACACCCCACACCGCCAACGCCTCTGCTGTCGCATGTTCCAAGGAACAGCTCTTCTCCAGTATCGAAAACGGCGTGTAGCGGGCGGTGCCTTCTCGTCTCGGTCAGTCCGATGACGTCGTACTTGATCTTCCTGGCTTGCATCATCAGGTCTTCGATGTGAGCTTTCGGATGGAAGCATCATGCGTTGAAGGTGCAAATCGCCATCTTAGTCCGCCTTCGTTTAGGCAGCCTATCTGGGTCCTGAGATTCTAGCAGCCTCCCCAAAGCGGTCCTAAGCAGCGCTGCCGTATTGAGGGCTTCCTCAGGCTTCGGGGAATGGGGACCATCCGTACTGCTGTTTTCGGCATGTGACGGCTCTGTAGTTTGCCAGGCTCTGTCGTGCGGGCTAGGATAGACCTCCAGGTAGTTAGCCACGCTATCCTGGAGCGGAACAAGGGGCTTATTTCTTGGAGGCGGCCCCGAATCGCCTCCCATGTACTTCCCAGTCACTTGAATGCAAGCTTTTGGCTGTGCCGACATGCAGGATACCAACCGCACACACACAGAGCGCACCACACACGCAAGCATGCATGGATACGCCTGAGTGGAGACAGCTGGTATGAATCAATACAGCACTGAACAGGGATTCCATTTCTTGAATCGATCTGCGCCTCAGGGCAAACACATGGTGTGATTTTTATCCCCCATCTGTTGCACCACGTAGCCTCGCCACTAACCGGCGAAAGATTTCCAGTGAAAGAGGACCCTCAGTGAAAGAGAACCATTCTTATTAGGTGCCATATTGTTCGTAACTGTCCCGCATCTATCCGCATGCGAAGAGATGCCTTCCTCTCAGAATTACGCAGTCTCCGACGCAATAATTGGGTGGCCGTGTTGAGGTTCTCGCGATCATCATATTTTTCTCCCTTTGTGAAACGAGCAAGCATGCGAAGCAGCTGGTGATTGTTAATTGAATAATGAAGACGGCAAAGAACCATTCCGAGTTCCACTGTAGTATTTTGATATTCGCTGATGACATGTGGGTTGCGAGGCCGCGCAGTGGAAGAAGAACCCTCATTGGAAGCCTCAACTTTGCGATATCCGAAGCAAGTCTACGCTGCTGAAATCAAGGGATGCCTACGTAAACAGTGGTGGTATCCGTTGAAGTCTGTCCAATCTAACAATCGGGAGGAGGTCCTAATAGAGGTCACTTCTAGCTTGTTGT